GCCCCCCCCAGGAACAAGGACCAGTTTGTGTAACTTCGTTAAGGGCATATCAAAATGTGTGTGAATTGCTTGAAGAGAAATGGCCTAGCTAGCATGACCTCTGGTGCAAACAGATTGCCCATTTTTTTTGGACCCTGAGGTGTGTTGCAGAGCAAAATCAAGCAGAACTGAGTGGGGGGAGCAGAGAATGAGTAAGTGGTGGGAAACCTCAGCAAATAATTCAGGCCTTCAAGGTCTCAGCAGCCAAGCCAACTTGACTCAGCAGTGTGGACTGTGATGTCTGGGCTGTGTGGATTTGTCACACAGTACAAATTGTGTCACCACAAACCTTGCAGTACAGGTTTAAAAAATAAAGGATGCTTTTTTGAAAATGTGATCTGTTCAAGATTGTTCATGGAAAGCACATTGTGGGAAGTTCTCCAGTTGTTAACCCATCTCCTCATCTGCTGTAGGGTAAGAAGCATCATTCTGGAAAGAACGAGGACCACCCTTCCATCCAGCGCCTGAAACGCTACATCCGGGAATGTGGCGTGTGGCGGAATTACAAAAAACTCCTGGCAGGTTGCCGTTCCCGCAGAGCTCAGATAGAAGTTCTCAGAGAAGAGCTGGGAAGTCTCGGCATGAAGGGTTAGTCAATGGCAGTTGATGTAACTCAACTGATCTTGGGCTAAGCTATGGGAATCTCTTTCTGGGGAGCTGCATAAGAAAGGATACTAGATTCACATATTGCTAAGCCATTGTTTCTTTTAATCTTGGCTTGTTGAACAAGCCACAGGTAGCTGAGTTGCCATGGCGCACTAAGCCGTAAACGTATAAATGCAAACCATACTGGCTGGCTTCCAAAATAGACTGAGTCATTATCAAAGAAATTATATTTGTGCCAAGGCAATCTTTGTTGAATCCAAGATGTAAATTCTTCAAACAACATGGAAGTGCGCCCAGCCAATTTTCAGTAGTTATGTTTAATCAATAAATTAACTGCTAATATTAGGGACAATTTTAGGAAAGCACTATGACCTCAGCTCCAGGAAAGCCACGTCTGCATCCGTAGCTCACTGATTTCACCAGGTATTTCCTGAATCCACAATCTTAAAACAGGGATATTTAGTTCTTAAATATTTGGAAGGGGAATCCAGAATTCCTCTGTACGTTTTTTTTATCTAAAATAAGAACACCAGCAGTTCTTGTTGAATGCTGAGTCCCTTTTCAGGTGCAATGGCTGGCCAGTATTTCAGATAGGAGTCTTTCTCCCTACCTGGAAATGCTGGGAATTGAACCCAGGACCCTCTGAATGCAGACCTTGTATTCCACTTCTGAGCTGTGCCTCCTTCTTCATAAAGGAGCCATTATGTAACCTCTATAAGGCAAGGTGTAGAGAATCAGGAGATTATCTTGAGGCTTGCAAGATTGATGCCAGCCCATCAGGGTAGACCAGATCAGGAAACAGACTCCACAGAAAGACTAGAATTATACTTTATTGAGATAGGCTGTAATAGCAGAATCTTGCAAGCCTGATTGGGCTTTACCTCCCCTCCCTCTTATAACTCAGTGAATCAGGAAGGAGCCTGCCTAATAGTATCTTGTTTCCCAGGACTTTAGGAACCTTTCAGGCCTCTTTACTTATATAATTTGTGTGTACGTGCCTTTGAGCCAGCGTTGACTCCTGGCAACTGCCTGCGGTTTTCTTGGCAAGATTTTCAGAAGTGGTTTGCCCTTGCCTGGTTCTTCCTAGGGCTGAGAGGGAGGGACTGGCCCAAGGTCACCCAGCTGGGTTAGTGCCTAAAGCAGGACTAGACATCACAGTCTCCTGGTGCCTTTAACCGCTACATCAAACTGGTTGTCCTTTGCTTATATAATAGCTCTTGCCTATTTCCCTCAAAGTCATCTCTCTGTCTATGCAAGGCTGGGGTTCCCCCATTTACTGGGAGAGGGGGTGTTTGTGACTGGGCCATCTTGTAATCTGCTTTTCTTACTGCTCCATGCCAGTGATCAACTGTCCCTGTTGAATTTTTGCCTGCTAAGCAGTCTCTAAAAGCCTTGGACTTCTGTTAGCAGCACTCCTGTTTCAGAGGACATCCAATTCTGGGTCCCAGAATGGCAGCCACTACAGAATATTGCTCCACACGTCTCCCTTTTTTGCCTGTATTTTCTTTCTCATTTCCTCAGGAGCTCCATCTCTAGCCAAGTGCAGAGCCCTAAAGCAGAAGCGGGAAGAAGCGGCCGAAGTGGCTTCGCTTGATATCAACAACATTATTGCTACAGAAGGTAAAATGGATGTGGAAGGGAGGAGCTGAAGGGTTGTGGCTGATAGAAAAGTCCAGGTGTGTCATTAGGATCCTGGAAACTTTCTGAAACAAATTTTGGGAGCCCAGAGAAATGGTGGATAGTACAATTCCACTCATGATCCAAATACATTGATTTGGTTCTCTTATTTTTATGTAAATATCAGGGTAGGTCTGTTCCTGTTTTTTAAATTTCTGAATGCCAGAGGTGTAAATCATCATAATTAAGCTAATGTTCTTGATATCCTGCTCTGTTTCTAAAAGGTCTCCTTTTTTAAAACATCTGTCAGAGGAAGTTGGAGAGGAGTTCAAAAGAATGAGAAGCTAAGGGTAGTCTTTTAGAGGGAAATATGTAGGGTGGAGAAAGGGGGGCAAGGTGGAGGGGGGCTGGAGGGTGTAAGTAAAATAGAAGAGCTGAAGCAGGTGTGTGCTAATGTAAGCAGTGGGAATGCAGAGTGTTTGGGATGGTCCAAAAATGTTCCTGCTCAAATAAAGAACAAGGTTGTGCCACTCCCATTTCTTGGACAAGGGCTGACTGGACCGACAGTTGAGTTTTTCTTTAACGCTGTGATACAACAGCATCTTCCATTACCTCAGAAAGCAGCAGACAAGCTTAAAGGACACATGACCTGCAGCTGTTTTCCTTCAGTGTCTTGTTACTATCCCTCAGGCTCTCCTCCCCCCCCCCCCCACGCAACAGCTTTGTTCTGTTACATGAGAGGGTGATTCTGCCTGGGTGCAAAGAGTGGGTAGACTTTGAAGGGAAGCTCTTCAAATTTGGAGAGTAAGCGAGCTTAGTCCAGAGATGCCCGCCAGTCTCCATGCAATGGAGGCACCATTCTAGCACATCTGGAAAACATTCCCCCTCTCTTCCCTCCCTGCAGGCCGTCCAAAGCGTCGTAATGTCTGGAGCCTTTACAGTAAGCCCCAGGAGTCACCTAGTTCACCAGAGGAGCTGCCCCTTCGCCATCGCCCTACAGACTGGTCCCAGCTTCGAGGAGTCATCAGTTCAGACGGGGAAAGCAGTTGACTCTGAGGTGGAGGGAGGCCGACATTCATTCACTTTATTGCCCTACTTTGGAGAGGAAATATGGGTTTAACTCATCGAACAGCCAGGAGGGGATCTCTTTTTATTTCCCCCTCTTCTCAAAATGCAAAGAAAACCATTTTCTGATAAGCTGTGCTTTTTTATTATTGTGTTTCCCATGGGCAAGGGAAGGGGAAAACACAAGTACTTCTGTTGAGAGCAAAAGTCTTCCTACTTTCTGAAGATGGACACAGAAGGGAATCCATTGCTTCTTTAAAATCCCCAAGTTTTGCCACTGTTGCCATTACATCATTTTTAAATTATCTACTCTATGACCCCTTTCCCCAAGCATAGACATTCTTCAGCAGGAGTATGAATATCTGTGTTTTGGGTTGGGACAAATTTTATTTTCATTCCATGTAAATATGGAGACCGATACTTCCTTTCCATATTTATGAGCCATTCCTCCCTCTTTGGGATGGGGAGTTTTCTGAAGAAGATTGACTCTTGTTCTGGGCCAGATTTCGCTTGCCCTCGGTTATATGATATATGAATCACTATCTGTCTACATGTCACATTTTTGAGATTTTATGATTGAAAACAAAAAAAAAGTTTTATATTTGTTAAATAAAATACATTTTGGACTTTAACTCAGGAGAGCTTTCAGGTCAGGTCTAATCAATAGCTACTCCCCACCTATACCCTTCTGCATGTACGAACCTCAAGTTATTTTTTTACAAAAGTGCTTGCTGATTAATTCTGCAACATCTCCTGTATGACAAAGAATCTGGCTCTCTGGAATGTCTTGCTGTAGTTTATTTAAAAGATTAAGTTGCTAGGTTTCATGAAACAGGCTGTCTAACCTGGGAAATGGAACTTACATAGTCTTCTCAGTAGCAGCCATTTTCTTATTACATGATTCCACAATAGTCCATTTTCCTACTTGAAGATGGGTGGACTTCATCTCCCAGAATTCTCCAGCCAGCCAACTTCCCAAGGTTGAGAAATACTGCATTATAGTGTCTATAGACATGATGAGAGGGAACTGTGTGGAGGTCTCCTATCTATTGGGTAGTGTGGGATTAGCATGCTGGCTGGGGAATTCTGGGAGTTGAAGTCCACCCATCTTAATGTTGCCAAGTTTGAAAAACACTGGTCTACAGGAAGGTGGCTCCCACTGTGTTAGGTGTTTCCATGCATGTTACTCTACAGGGATCTGGTTGGAGCTATTCAGAGTCTTGCTAGTTCAAATTCCAGTAGGTCCAAGAGGAAGGATGTGGCAATTCCTGCCCAGTTTCAGTTAGGTCTGAAAGGTAGAGTGTATCCATGAAAAGCTCACACGGGGTGAGAAGTTGGACTTCCTTAAAACAAGAAGTGCCTGGTACAGTATGCTGAGCTGTTTTACACAAAATCGGTATCAGTCTGTTAAATCCAGACCTGATGATTCCGACATCACTTCCCTTAAGATCCCTTTCTATTCTTCATTCAAAGACTACTGGTGGTCCTGTGTGGTAAATGTATCTGGCTACCCAGAGTCACAGAAAGAGATAACTGAAGATACCGAGGATTAAATCTGGAACCTTCTGTATAAAAAGCTTATCTGTCTCTGAGCTGTGCCCATCTCTCCATACCTGTCCATACTGTTGTATCATATCCACCCACCATAATTTCATGAAGCCATGAAACTGGCAGCAATGCTGCAAGCAGCTGCTGCTTCACTTTGTTTTTATTTTTATGAAGATCTCTTTCACTGGACTAAGTCATAAGAAATCAGAACTTTTATATAGGCATACCTCTTTTCTAACCCTAACCCTAAGAGAGCCAGTTTAGTGTAGTGGTTAAGGCGTCAGGCTAGAAACTGGGAGACAGTGAGTTCCAGTCCTGCCTAGGCACAAACCCAGCTGGGTAACCTTGGGCCAGTCGCTTTCTCTCAG